TGACCTCCCTGCTGCGTGGACGTGTGTGTGTTTGGACGTGGGGACGAGAACGAGTGCAAGAGAGTTTTCCCCTCACTGTATATATTCTGCACTGGTGTTGTAAGTAAACTGTGTCCCTGCTATCGACCGTGACAGACTGAGTGTGAAGTCTACCAAATGGAGGGTAAGTTCAACATAAGTAGCCACATAGTCAATTAGCTGTTGCAGGTTAGTGTTGATAAATTTGATGTGTCACAGTACAAAAATAAATATGGTAACATCCAAGCATGAGTACTAACAGACCAGCTGAATAATAAAATCACTTAAATTGAAGCTGTCTGACAAAATTAAATAAGCTAAAAGATCTCAAAAAGCAACACATCACAATATGTCTTCTTTCAACACCTTGGTGCCTGTTGTGGAGCCACCAAGCTGAAGAGTCCAATTGGGCTTGGTTTCCTGTAGGACTCCAGAGGCAGCTGATAGGAACCGACAGCCCAAGTGGAACACAGCTCCGGCAGTGGCTGAAGCAAAAAAAGAGGCCAGGTAAAAAGACTTTCGGACTGCCTCGAAGATATTCTGGTAAACCGTCAGGCAACTCAAGAGGGGAAAGCAGGGTTCTACTTGCACTGTGTATAGTGCGGGTAGTGTGCTGCTGACTTCGACTGAGAAAATTGTCGGGCGGTGGAAGGAATACTTCAATGACCTCCTTAATCCCAGTGGCATGTCTTCCATGGAGTAAGCAGAGTCTGGGGACCAAGGGGATGACCTGCCAATCTCTGGGGTAGATGAGGTCCGCCCTGAGTTCCTGAAGGCTCTGGATGTAGGGCTGTCTTAGTTGACACGCCTCTACAATGGAGATCAGGGGCAGTACCGGGGTGGTGATTCCCATCTTTAAGAAAGGGGACCGGAGGGTGTGTTCCAACTGCAGGGGAATCACACTCCTCAGCCTCCCTGGGAAAGTCTATGCCTGTTAAGGTTCGATGCAGGGGACTCAAATGCAGGACTCATCATCAGCTGAACACAAGGGTTTATGTACAGAGTTCACCAGGTGTATATACAGGAGGTGCAGGGCAGTGCTATATACAACAATGTGAGGAATGTGAGGAACGGGGCTCTGGGGAAATCCAAAGGGGGGAATCACTCGCTCTCCAACTCTCCACATACACGACGGCAGTTCCTTCCATCACACTTGACACACAGATTCACACGGGAAAGGTAATCCAGGGGGTCTGTAGAAGAGGAAACAGGAATGAGTACGATATTCACAAAGACACTTGGCTTGTCTTAAGCTGTAGCTTGACTCGCACTGACGCATGGTAGACAACAATCCAGCAAAGACCAGCAGTCACCTCCTCGCTTAAATGCTGATGGTCTTGATACAATACAATACAGTACAATACAGTTTTATTTATATAGCACATTTAAAAACCCGAAGGCAAACCAAAGTGCTTCACAGTAATATGGAGAGTCAACATAAGT